GTACCAAATTAATTTATCTACCAAGCCAGGGAACGGACATTTTGAGGCGACTGTTCATCACACAGTTCAGAGCGGCAATTTCACTGTATATGACAAGGAGATAAGCAGACTGAATAAGTATGGAAACCAGCCCCACTGCATCGCTGGAAAACTACCACACTTACGAGCCTATTGCTATTGTAAAGAGCAGTTACCGAGATAAAGGAACACTCTGTGGTAATTTTAGCACAATGTTTTTACTGTTACGATGTCTAGGTACATTTAGATGCGGGAGATGTTTACAATGTAGCAAATTTTAGTCCATGTCTTTCCGGTTTTTTATCAGTTATTATCATTTTAGATTGCTCAACTGAGACAGCAACAGATATGAGAATGTGTTTCTTTGAAATCTTATCATGTTTGACCTTCAAAACGGTTGTGCCATACGCAATCCGACATGGCTTAGGTGATTATCTTGACACCAGAAGTATTAAACTGTTTTCTGTTCATTAGGTTTCTGGTAAAATTTCTTTATTTCTGTCCCTAGGTGCGATGCTTGACAGATTCTTCATTTTCAAAAACAGACATAAATTCAACATGTTCGTTGTATGATTCGCAGCTTATTGGCAAACAGACATGTGTGCGAATTTTAGAATGGGCAATCTTGCCAGCATAGACTGGGTTCCTATACCTAGATCAATCTAACATGATCGATCCATTTCCGAGAGACTTCTTGCTAAATTGCTGTTAGCTTAAGCGGCTGAGATGTCTGATTGCAATTTAGTGAGAATCCCCTTGGAGATAGGTCGATCCACAGTTAGTACTATTGGGTCTGGGAATGGTTTTGAATTCTCTGAAACTCGACTGGGATTCTGTGTGAAGAAATAGTGAAAAAGTGTCTCAGATGTGACCTGGCGGTGAAAGGGATGTGATTTAACGTACTTAAACTGTAGTTTCTACCTGTGGGGCAGCCATCAGGTCTATCGGTCATAGATTTAATTTTTTTCTGACATTTTCCAAGTCCAGGCCACGCCCGCTGAGAGATCTATTACGTCCGGACTAACGTCCAGGCAATGTATTAGAACAATGCAAACATATTTTATCTCTTGTCAACTTTATGAATGAGCAGATTTTTAGACCTTAGTGCGAGTTAATTGCAATACATTTTAGTGACATTCGAGTGTTGTGAATCAGTACTTACTGGCTGATTTCGAGCCATAGAAGAGTATTAAGGGTCTGTCTACTTATGAGGAAATTGGAATTGTTATGTCGATGTACTTTAAGGCATACAAGTAGCATAAGACTTTCATGTAGCAAAGAGAGAAAATATTTTCCCTGGACCCCATTTGTTTTATAAGATTTTTTGCCCCCCCCCCCCATCATAGCCCATGACAGAGAAGGACATATCTGATACATCAGACGAATTATTCTTGTAAATATTGGAAAGTAGTAATTAGTTTTTTATGTTTTTGTTTTTGTAATTTTTTTCCAGTTAAATTCAAAGAGAAACGTCAATTTTTTTTTTCATTTTGTTATCCTCTAACATAAAATGATCACAGGTATTTTTTTGTTAGACTTTCATCACAAATTTAAAGTTTTTTGTATCGTTGTACAGTGACTCATGGTTTATATTTCATTTATTCGTTTTGTCATTTTTGTGTTTAAAATGCTTTTCATTGATTATTTTATAAGACTTACTGCCAAAAACAATCAAAGTTACTGTAAAGCTGAAAGCATTATTATATGAATAAATGCTACTAAGTAGTCATAATGATAACTGTGCCTTACGTCGCTCGAACTGAATTAATTCACTTAAATAGCATTGGTTGTAATCACTAAAATACTGCTGAACATCTTTCAAAACACGGGGTGATTTAGAAACTAAGCAGTGATAAAAATCAATGATTCCTTCGCTCGACCGGCAAAAATCATTTAGGAAGCTACTGGTATGCGTTGAAAGGGGATTGGGGAGGATTGGGGGTATTAGAGTAGAATGGGGGGGAATGGGGTGGAATGGGGGGTGAGGGTGGAATGGGGCAAAATGGGGCAGAATGGGGGGATGAGGGTTGAATGGGGCAAAATGGGGTGGAATGGGGGGTGAGGGTGGAATGGGGCAAAATGGGTGGAATGGGGGGTGAGGGTGGAATGGGGCAAAACGGGGCAGAATGGGGTGGATAGGGTAGATTAGGGTGGGATGGGGCAAAATGGGGTGGATTGGGGTGGGAATGGGGGGTTGACGATGGGGAGGAAGGAATGACGTGGGATGAGGAGGGTTGGAGGCAGAATGGAGGTGGTCTAAGCAACACATACATTTTCATGGCACCACGTGTGTTCTTAAGTTTCTATCGCATTCGTCTCTTTTATCTAATTTTTGGGCCGGTACACAAGATTTGACTGTATCAGCAGATCGGCTTGCTTTTATGTCACATCGAGTTAACAATATTTGAACCTAAAAATGTGAACGCATATCAAATGGTATACCAAAGAGTATTAATGTCCCGAGACAAAGTCTCGTAACCCTCCCCCCCTTCAAAAGTTTCAACCTCAGCTATTCGGCAACAGAGAGCAACAGCGTCGATAGATTTTACATGAATATGATGGCGTCTTAATGACTGTCTGTCAGGCAAAAAGCCTGCCACCGCTACCCTCCCCCTTAGTGACTTCCTTATGCATGAGTCTCGGTGAGTGATGACATTTACTCCACACAAAAATCCTCCCTGGACACAAGAGAAATGTGCACGTCGTTAGCCGGATGCATATCTGTGAATTTTGAGTGAAAACACAATCTATGACCCTTGTAAAGGGCAGAGACCAGTTTGTGGAGTTCAACGTGAACACTAGTTTGCATATTAATGGTGCACCTTAAGGCATTCTATGTTACATCAAGAAAAAAGCGGGTCAATATATTCTGAGACTGACTTAACTGAACACGTACGTCTGTTATAATACTATATCAGTGCCACAGATATTTTTAAGTTACGTACGACTTATCCACTTAATGCAACAGCTTTTGTTTGCACCTGTTTTTTATATTTTAGTGTAAAATTTTTAAAAGATTAAGAAAATTCAAATTTTGGGAGGGACGACTAGGTTAAGTGCCATCACGTGGTATCTCCTCTCCTCTTCCTGCTTCGTATTTGTTTGTTTATTCATTTAATAAAAAAAATTCCGGAATGTTTCTGTTTTGATCAATTAAGAGTGTCTTATGTAAACGAAGTCTGGTAAAAAATAAAATGTTTGATTTGAAAAAAGGACACATTACTTCTTTTAGCCAATTCATTTTCTCACATCAAATAGTATTTGAGCTCTTGGGCTATGTGTATAAGGATATTTATTGGTTTACCTAAAAAGTTTTTGTTGTGTATCTACCAAAAATATATGTATTTGATTAATGATGAATGAGGTCGTTTACGACCTCTCCCATTGGGAATGCACTGGCGGCTTTAGGGGGGGTCAGGGGGGTCCTCCCCCCCCCCTTCGATTTCTGAAAAAAATCAACAATGGTCTTCTCTTGAAATTAATTTCAGCTAGCAGGGGTGAGTGTCGGCTTTGCATCCGCGGACCTACCCCCCCCCCCCCTTCAAATAATCCTGGTTCCGCCCCTGGGATGTGTGGCAAATATGCCGTTATGATGAGGAGTGACAGCCTTGATATAGCTCAAAGGACCTAGCGGCTTCCTCGTGTACCTCTGACTAACAAGAACTAAAGCTCTTACGCTTTAAAGCAATTAACAATCCCATATGTACCGCCAAGTTTTTTTTAATACACGTGACAAAAAGCCATTAAACTGAATATAAACGAGCTGAATGTTTATGGCTTAACGGAGAGTTATGCATGCGGGAGGAGGGTTGTATGCCACATATCATGTTAATACCGTGTGTGCCACGAATTAAACGATGCTTGGTCATACTGTGTATTTGACTTTTCTCCACGTGACTCTACAGTCAAGTGTAACAGTTTACTTCATGGAATCTTCGAGTCGCATTTAGGTAAAGTAAGTTTTAAAACGTTATATCCTATTTCGAGCTTAAGCTTTACTTAAGTTCAGGAGATAATTAATATGTAGTATTCACAACAAGTAGTTTTCCTGTTAAGGAAAATATAGTATAAGTTTTATGCGTCCAGTTTTGTATATTTATATGTATTATACTCACAGTTGATAGACCTGATTCACGCTAATTAATGCGAGTACACGTGTATGCTTTTGTGAACAGACACCCGTATATGCATCATACCCCTATTCATTTTTTCTCTGGATATTCATGTATATTACTCTGAATAATTTTGTGTACATATCCATTAACACCTCCGTACGAACCGCCAAGCCGTATACCCCATGATATTTTTAATCTCATAAATGACGGCAGACAAGGAGAGTGTCTCGGTCGAAGTCGGAGGAATTTTATATTACAAGTGAATGCAAAGTTTAACACTGATAAAACTATGACTAGTCATCTTTCCTGCTTGGCTATTCTCTACGCTACACTGCATTTATGTCTGAGGGTTTGATTCATGGGATCTTCGGATTGCGTTCAAGGTTTAATGCTTTCACCCCCGCCTTCCTGCGGTTTCCGTAAAAAATCACACTGATGTTCTCCACTTGAAATTAAAATTTTGACTAGCTTATTTATAGTACTTATCCGTTCCAAAAGGACCGTTTGCCCCCCCCCCCCCCCCCCGAAAAAAAAAAAAAAACAAAAAAAAACACCAATATATTTTGGGGTCATTCAGTAGGCCTGGAACCCCACAGCAAGGGGGTCGAGGGTCGGCTTCGTAGTCGAGTCCTGTCATTCCTTAGCAATCGGACCCCCCCTTCAAATAAGCCTGGATCGGCCCCTGTATATTGTAACTGAGTTACAGTCTATAACTAAGTCAATTTTCAACTTTATGACCTCTTCAACAGCCTGAAAAGTATCCTTTATATATCTTGGATTTTCTCGAAAAAAATCTTTAAAAAAAAGAAAAAAAAAAGAAAT